AAGCAGATTTTACTGCATAATGTGGATGGGTCTCATTCAAAAGTTGAGGGCCTAAAGAACAAAAAAAGTCTTACCTTTCCCCAAGTAAGAAAGAATTCTCCTGCAGTCTGTGGACTGGAACTAAGCCATCAGCTCTCCCAGTTCTCCACTTGCTAGCCGAGTCTGGCAGCCTACACTGCAGATTTTAACTTACCAGACTCTATAATCATACAAGCAAATTCCTTATAATAAATCTATTTCTATGTATGTATACCTCCTATTGATTCTGTTTCTCTGTACAGGTCCGACTAATACAAATTCGAATTCCTTTCTCCTCTCTTGGAAACGACCATTCTATTTTTTTGTCTCTATAAATTGGTTTACTTTAGGTACCTCATACTGGTGGAATCATACAATATTCAATCTTTTGTGTCTAACTTATTTTATTTAGCATTACGTCTTCAAGGATTATCAATGTTGTAGCATGTGCCAGAATTTCGTTCCCTTTTAAGTCTGCCTAATATTCCATTGTATGTATAAACCACATTCTACACTTAATTTATCCATCGACGGATGTTTGCATTTCTCCTCTTTTTAAAGATCAGTGAGATCGTTTCTACAATCGTTGTGTGGCAGATAACTGGACAGATTTAAATAATTTTAGGAGGCTCCCATTATTCCTGTCTCCTGGTGTTCCTGATCTTGTATAAGCCTTCCCCTCCAGTGTAAGTGAGACCTATGACTTGGAATGTAGCAGAGACGCTGGAATGCATGTGATCATGCATATGTGCTTATGTAAGGTGTAGTGACTAGTATGCTAAAGTCTCTCTCCCTATCCTGTCTCCATCTTTATCTCCCTGTCTAGATTTTTTTTTTAAATAGAGTCTCGCACTGTCACCAGGCTGGAGTGCAGTGGCGCAATCTCGGCTCACTGCAACCTCTGCCTCCTGGGTTCAAGCGATTCTCTTGCCTCAGCTTCCCTAGTAGCTGGGACTACAGGCACATGCCACCAAGCCCAGCTAATGTTTGTATTTTTAATAGAGACAGGGTTTCACCAAGTTGGCCAGGATCATCTCAATCTCTTGACCTCATGATCTGCCCACCTCAGCCTCCCAAAGTTCTGGGATTACAGGCATGAGCCACCGCACCTGGCCCTCCCTGTCTAGATTTTTAAACGCAAGCTTAAATGAATCCTGTAGCCAAAAAGAAATAAATTCTGCCTGAGGGAACTTACAAGTGAATCTTCCCAGGTGAGCCTTCAGATGAGCCGCCCAGCAGACACCTTGATTGCAGTCTTGTGACACACAAGCAGAGGACCCAACTAAGATGTGTCCACGCTTCTGACCCACAGATACTTTGAGATAATAAAAGTATGTTGTTTTACATTGCTGCTCATATAATGTGTGGTGATGTGTTACACAGCATATGAACCTAAAACATCCTAGGATAAACTGAATCCTTCTGTCTTGTTTAACTTTTTTTTAACTCTAATCTTTTTACGGACTTCAGTGCCTTTGAGGCTGTCACTCGATCCCTATGCTGTAATCTTGGCTCATCAGATGGAAACACTTCCCAGGGGATCTCCCAAGGGTTGCAAATATGAAACTTCTTCTGCTATATTATTTATTTTTGAAGTCAGGGCTGTGGACCTACTCACTGACTTATAGTTTGAGATTGATGGCTCAGAGTAAGAATAGTCCTGGTCTCTATTTTAATGAGGCACAGAGAGAAAAGAAATCCATAGTGGCCACCTGACTTAGGCAAGGTCAAAAGGAGAATAATCAATGGGACCAGAAGTAAGCAATTTTTTGGCTACACTTGTTACAGCAGTTGTATAACAATACCCTGAAGCACAGGTGTAAAGGTCGATGTACATGCACCCTCTACTGGTTCCACTCCAAGTTCTTAACTACCTGGGTATAAGCTAATGATTCACAAGTTTAAAGGAACTGCACAAGATTGTGTAGGATTGTAATGAGACCATTTCCCTCTACCCCAGCCACCTGCCCTTCTGAACCTGTCCAATGTGTACTTTGCTCAGTCTTCTTGCCTGATTTATCTTTCTTCTTTCATGATTCCTTATATGGAGGCTTGGTTAGGGACAGAGTTAAAGCTGCCCCAAGGCATAATCTCATTCATTAGGACAAAAACCAACTTTTATTTTTCCAGTGGCTAATCTGATGAGGGAAAAAAAAGGGTAATAGTAATTCTAAGAAAGGAAAGTCACAAGGAGATCATTAACAGGACCTATTTTGTTCAAACCTGTTAGGAAGCTGGAAGGCAAAAAGATAATGGCAATCACATGTTAGAAAGTGCAGGTGGGAAAGGGGAGTCTTGTTAACCAGCAAACCTGTTTAGGCAGGTGAAGGCTGGCATGGCTGGGGGAAGAGGTGGCCAGGCAAGCAAGGGAAAATATTCAAGAATTAGAATATCAAGAAACCTAAAACGTGGTCTGGAGAGGGAGTGGTGTAAAAATATACAAGAGGGCTGGGTGCGATGGCTTACCTCTGTAATCTCAGCACTTTGGGAGGCTGTGGGTGGATCACAAGGTCAAGAGATTGAGACCATCCTGGCCAACATGGTGAAACGCAGTCTTTACTAAAAACACAAAAATTAGCTGGGGGTGATAGCTCATGCCTGTAGTCCAGCTACTTGGGAGGCTGAGGCAGGAGAATCTCTTGAACCCAGGATGCAGAGGTTGCAGTGAGCTGAGGTCATGCCGCTGTACTCCAGCCTGGTGACAGAGCGAGACTCTGTCTAAAAAAAAAAAAAATATATATATATATATATATATATATGTACAAGAGAAGCATAAAGGACAGTAATTATCCAGAATAGTGAAAGTAAAGGTTGCTGGCAAAATTCACTGAAAATCAAAATAATCTTAGTGAACACAAAAAGTATCAGTTAGGATTGTAATATTTATTTTACACATATTAACTGATTTAATCTGTATAAACCTATCAAGTAAATATTACTAATATTACCCCCATTTATTTTTATTTATTTATTTATTTTTAAGATGAGGTTTCACCATGTTAGTCAGGCTGGTCATGAACTCCCGACCTCAGGTGATCCACCCGCCTTGGCCTCCAAAATGCTTGGATTACAGGCGTGAGCCACCACGCCTGGCCTATTACCCCCATTTTATATAAAATAAAAGTAGGCCAACAGAGATCTAATAACCTGCCTCAAGATCTCACAGCTCATAAATGACAAAACTAAGTATTTAAACCTGGGTATCCTGGCTAGGCTTTAAGCCTTGGTGCTCTGCTGTCTTTCTGACAAGAAGAAGAGAAGGGAAATGTTCATGATGGGTTTCCTATGTTCGGGGAACTCATGATAGAAATACCGTATTCACAATGACTTCTTTTCTCTTATTGCATTTTCTCTAGGAAATAACATCGAAAGCAGGTCAGGTGGGTATTCCACTCCTGTTTTATGAATGGGAACATTAAGGGCTGGAGAAATTACATAATAATTTAGTGGAAGGTCAACTAAAGCTCTGCTCTCCTTGTCCTATAAAATACCTTCCACCTTGCCAAGTCTTCTATTGAAATCTGGAAATCACTCTTCATCCTAACCCCAATTGCCTAATTAAAAAAAAAAAAAAAAAAAAAAAAAAGACTCTCAGTGCTCCTTTAGTTTTGAAACTGACAGATTTTAAATTACCAGCATTGTACCAGGCCAGTGTCTTGGTATTTGTTTTCCTTAGCTAAGAACAAAACTGGTTTATATCCTCCATTCTCATATCCCATCATCAAGCTGTGTGAGGACCCTTAGAGTATGATCAGCCTACCCAGGAGTCTCCCTCCCACAATCACTTGGTAATTAGATTTACAGAGCTGGAAAGGCTCTGACATGAGTTTTTATTCCATTCTTATGAGATAGTCATATCACTGTAAACTAACATCTACTTTTCTTATCCCAGCCTGGCCAACATGGTGAAACCTTATCTTTACTAAAAATACAAAAATTAGCTGAGTGTCATGGCGAGCACCTGTAATCCCAGCTACTCAGGATGCTGAGGCAGAAGCATTGTTTGAATCCAGTAGGGAGAGGCTGCAGTGAGCCAAGATCTCACCACTGTACTCCAGCCTGGGCGACAGAGAGAGACTCCATCTCAAATAATAATAATAATAATAATAATAATTTTCTTATGAAATATTTGGTATTAAGTAAAGATCACCTATTTAAGTACAAATCATTCTTACAGTATTCATTTGTTTTGTTTTGTTTTAGGTAGATTCTCACTCTGTCGCCCAAGCTGGAGTGCAGTGGCGCTATCTCAGCTCACTGCAACCTCTGTCTTCCAGGTTCAAGTGATCCTCCTGCCTCAGCCTCCTGAGTAGCTAGGATTACAGGCGCCTGCTATGACACCCAGCTACTTTTTGCATTTTTAGTAGAGACAGGGTTTCACCATGTTTGTTGTCCAGGCTGGTCTCAAACTCCTGGCCTGAAGTTATCAGTCAGCCTTGGCCTCCCAAAGTGCTGGGATTACAGGCGTGAGCCACGGCATCCAGCCCCATTTGTTTCTATAGATTTGCTTATTATGAGTATTCTATGCTCTTGCGTGGGTGCCTGTTTTTACTCTGACCTTAGGTTTTGTTTTTGTGAGTGGCAAGACATTTCTCAATCGCATCACTACTTTACCAAAGAGAGAGAGAGAAAAAGAGAGAGAGAAAGGAACAAGACAAGAGGGAAAAGAAACAAAGAAGCCTATATATTTGTTTTTTAAAAATTTGGTTTTAAAATAATGTCTTTCTCACTTATCTATTTCAATGAGAAGTGAAGTCAGGGTGGAGAAACGTGTCACTGACAACACAGGAAAATTCTAATCTTCCAACTTGATTTCTCATCTTCAGATCTGTTTTCTCAGGAGATGTGATGGCTTTCCTGTTCATTTGGCAAACTCTCAGTCTTACCCCAATGATTAAGGATAAATGACCCAGAACCAGGAGAGTTGATTATCAACGTAGTGAAGGGGAGGGTTTCAAAGAGCAAGAAGGGGTTGTTAATCACATGGGGAGAGAAGAAGGGAGATTGGCAGGGTGCCTTTCACCCTGCAACAGTCACCCTGGAGTGCTCGGTGAAGGATTAAGAATATTACCAGTTTTCTGATGAAGCAAAGAACATATTTGGTCACCAGCAATCTGCCTTTGACCATCCTCAAAGCCAAGATTTTCATCACTGTCTAGAAAAATACCTCATTCAGAGGACACATAAGTCCTCTTTGAATGCCTTCTTTCTGGGAGCAGTGAGAGAAAGAAACTTAGAGATGTAGAAAGAATTAATGGTATAAAGGAAAGAAAGAAGGCAAAAGGTAGCAAATGTGGGGGCCATAGAAATAGTAATAAGAAGAGAGAAGAAAACCAGGAAAACAAAAGGGGAGGCAAAGGCCATAGAAAATAACAGCCAGAGAGAGGAAGAGAAGACGGAGAGAGAAAGAGAGAGAGAAAAGCTGATAAATTGCTGAGAAGTTTCTCTCCTTAAGAATTCTAAGTCAAGAAGTCAAATATGGCACAGAGCATGGAAAGGAGGCAATGGATGCCCAGTGCAAGATTCTGAAGAAGCCGGAATTCAGCCCGATGGGAGTCCGAGTTCATGTCGTGGCAGCCTCTGCCCTGGTGCATTTCATCTTGGTGAGTTCAGTGACGAAAAGGCAGAAAGATCGTCCTTTTCCACAGATTAATCAATTCTCAGAAGAATCTGAAAGGAAATGGACTGTGGGGTGGGGAGACATATACAGAGCCCAGAGGGTGGCAGGGAAATGAATAACTACAAAGTTTTGTTAGTATTCTGAGATTGTATAGATGCTTGTGTGACTGACGGCAATGTCCAGCAACAGGGGGGCAGAAATTAGAGTGAGCATGGAAACAAGCAGTATAGCTGTGGCACTTTAGAAGTGCCACTGAAGCATACTTCTCTCTTTTAGCATCTTATCACTCATCCCTCAAAATCCCAAAAAAATTATGAAAACTAGGCCTGTAATTCCCCTAAACAACATTTACCACATCAGATCTAATCCCATTCTAGCAGTTTAGGTGCCTCTAGTCTAGAAATAAGAGAGGGAGAAAATATTTTGAGCCCCACAGTGAATCAGAAGTCTCTGAGTAATCCGTTAGTGGAGAAAAGGGTCACTGGACTGAGGGATTCTAAACAATTGTCACAGGGAAGTTAATAGAGCTATGTCATCTAACAAGAAGGAGAACAAATCAAGAAAACTGGACAGTATCAGGTTCCTGTATGCCCCTGTGCGGAGTGGGATGTATGTTTTTCTTGCTAATAGACCTGTTAAAGTGGTGTCTGAAAATCCATTTTTTTCTTATATTTTCTTTTTGTTTCCTCTTCACTTCCTTTGCCTTCTCTTCCCTTCATTGTTCCTTTCTTTTCTCTTTGCAACAAACCTGAAAAGTGGCATTTTCTCTGTTGGGCACTTGAAGCTTCTCTTGCCTTTAGTGAAGAAAGCGAAAGAAAGTCCCAGGGTTGGGTGGAGGAAACACATTTTGTCATCCTTAGTAGCCGTCTCTTTTAAATGAAAAGTCAAACAGGGGTTTCCAAATTTTCTTCTTTTTTTTTTTTTTTTTTTTTTTATGATGGGGTTTCACCATGTTGGCCTTGAACTGGTCTTGAACTCCTGACCTCAGGTGATCCACCCACCTCAGCCTCCAAAAGTGCTAGGATTACAGGCATGAGTCACCTCGCCTGGCTTCCCAAATGTTATCTGCAAGGGCTGGCTGTTAATCCTTTTGTAGGTCCCTCTCACCTGATACGTCTTGAGTATGTGTGTCTCTTTACCCCTTCACTGCCCACCACAAACTCCCAATAGTTACAAATCTGTTTCTTTTCTAAGGATCTTTGTGGTTGCTTTCCTGAAATATCAGATCACTCAAGTTATTAGAAGAGAGAAGCAGCTTATAGAATTGAGTTCACTTAAATGGTTTGTTGTTGTTATTTTCAAAAAGGAGTTTTGCTTTTTTTGCCCAGGCTGGAGTGCAATGGCACGATCTTGGCTCACTGCAACCTCTGCCTCCCAGGTTCAAGTGATTCTACTGCCTCAGCCTCCCAGGTAGTTGGGATTACAGACATGTGCCACCACACCTGGCTAATTTTGTATTTTTTTAGTAGAGACAGGGTTTCACCATGTTGATCAGGCTGGTCTCAAACTCCTGACTTCAAGTGATCCACCTTCCTCAGCCTCCCAAAGTGGTGGATTACAGGCGTGAACCACCGCAACCAGCCTTAAACGGGATTTTGAAAGAGGAAGTCATCTAAAACATCAGGTCGAAGAAGGAGTGAACTCTTTTTTTAGGAGTAGTAGAAGGGACTTGCTAGCCATGCCAAGGAATCGTTGGAGAAACTTTGTCCCCAGTGCCATCAATTCATTCAGTACATATCGATGATAGAGTTTGCTTTGAGTTCTGTCTACATCAACAGGTGTGTACATTTGATCACATTACTTAAAACTCTGTACCTTAGTCCCTTAACCTTTCAAGATAAGGTTAAATATAGCCACCAAGAGGGTTATTGTGATTAAATGTTATAAAATATTAAGAGTTCATAGCCAGGTGCGGTGGCTCACACCTGTAATCCCAGCAGCACTTTGGGAGGCTGAGGCAGGTGGATCACTTGAGGTCAGGTGTTCGAGATTAGCCTGGCCAACATGGTGAAACCCCATCTCTACTAAAAATACAAAAATTAGCCGGGTGTGGTGGCATGCACCTATAGTCCCAGCTACTCAGCACGTTGAGGCAATAGAATTGCTTGAACTTGGGAAGCGAAGGCTGCAGTGAGATGAGATCATGCCATTGCACTCCAGCCTGGGGGACAGAGCAATACCGAAGGAAAAAAAAAGAGTTCTTAGCAGTCTGACTGGTATCTAGTAGCTATTCAATAAATAAGACCCTCTGCCCCACTGGCCCCCTCGCTTTCCCCTTCTTCTTTTGTATAGTCATTGTCAGAGTAAGAGGATAAAAAAGAGTAGTGGTGTAGAATTCAACTGGGCAGGAATTAGGAGGACAATAGCAATATCCCAAGGGACAGATATTTTCTACTACAAACACATTAATGTAAATGGCTGCCTCTCATACACAAAGGTGGTGATGGTTACCCACCGCCAAAACAACAGATGAGATATTTGTTCTTCAACATTCCTTTACCTCAAGTACAAAGGCCAGCAAGTATGGGGGAGATGAAAATAGCAGTCCTAAATAGACTGCCCCTATGACTGTGACCTTCTTACTCATTCATCTAACACAGCACAACCATTAGTGGTTATTGGTAGGCAGCTGAACACAGCAGACAAGACAATTTCCCTGTATAAGACAATTTCTCTTTCTACAGCTTTCTGGGACGAGATGTGAGGAAATCTGTGGCAACCCTGAACAGTAAGTATCTGAGAGTTTAAGCTGGGAGGATGGAGCGACAGACAAAAACATCACTACCCCCAAAAGAGGGTCAAGAGGTCACTAGACATCTATGACTTCCTTTTATTTTATTTTTTTTACTTAAGTAATGGATCTCATAGATGGGTTATCACAAAATAAAGACATGTGTTTGTGTCATCCTAAGCACTCAGAATAACACTGCTGACAGCACTATTTTCTCCAAAGCCAATCTTCCCATCAAAGCAGCAGGATTAATCTCAATTTATATAGTCATAGGACTTGCAAAAGACATCCTTAGCCCTGTTTGTCAGTGACTCATCAGGACAGACTGGGTTTTGTATCTAGTCACTGGTGTATATATTTGGATGATTTCCAAAGTAACATTACTACTATAAATTGGGAGAGTATTTTCTAGTTTTTATGGCATGTTAGCATTTATTGCAGACTTCATTTAGCTATCACTTTGATGTAGTTATCAACTAATCGAAGCCTGTCACATTTAGGTCTTATGTAGACACAGAGGACATGAAGATAACAATGCAAAAGAGTCATTCCACCTAAAGAAGCTATAGGCTGGGGACGGTGGCTCATGCCTGTAATCCCAGCACTTTGGGATGCTAAGGTGGGCAGATCATGAGGTCAAGAGATCGAGACCACTCTGACCAACACGGTGAAACCCCGTCTCTACTAAAAATACAAAAATTAGCTGGGCGTGGTGGTGCGCACCTGTAATCCCAGCTACTTAGGAAGCTGAGGCAGGAAAATCTCTTGAACCCACGAAGCGGAGGTTGCAGTAAGCCGAGATCACACCACTGTACTCCAGCCTGGGCGACAGAGCAGGCGGGACTCCGTGTCTAAAATAAAATAAAAAATAAAGAAACTGGCTGGGTGTGGTGGCTCACGCCTGTAATCCAAGCACTTTGGAGGCCAAGAAGGGCGGATCACCTGAGGTTGGGAGTTCAAGACCAGCCTGACCAACATGGTGAAACTCTATCTTTAAATAAATAAATAAACTATAAAATAAACATTTTAAAAAGTAGGGACACTTTGAATAAAAACTTGTTCAGGATGAAGGAAAATGCATATTTAGCCATGGGAAGGGTTTCTCAATAGCCAGGTCTGTTAAACCCAGGAAAATGGTGATGGCCTTGATTACCTGTCACGTGCACATTGGATGTTGACTACTTGATACCTGCTGTCTGAGGTTTTACACATCTTCCACCATAGAAAGAATCCTTTCCTATAAACCAGAATCCAATTAGAACTAGAGGAGTTTTCAACAAGTAAGAAATGTGAGAAAGCCAAGAGGAGCCATTGTTCAGTGAAAAAAGACAAACTATATTTTCTATAAGTGTGTGGCCAGAAAACAGAAATAGATTCACTAGATTTCAGTAGTAAAGAATTATTAAATGATAAAATTTACTGCTCTTCAGAGATACACAAATACTCAGCCTCCCTCACCCTCCAACTCCTGACCTTATCATATACTCCTTCTCTCATACCATACCATTTTTTTTTCATTCTTACAGAGAAAATTTACAATTGCCATAGTGAACTCTGAATATTAATTTAGCTTTCATCATGGTAAAGTTGGCTTCCACTTTTTTCCTTCTTCCTGTTTGGCCTCAGTGGATATGCATATTAGTTTTTGTCCTGGATGTGGAAAATCAGGGTACTCTTTATGGTGGGTGTGATATTGTAAAATATATATTTGATTTTGTCCCTATCTCCTAGCATACAACTTCGAAAATCCCTGGAGTCCCCAAAGTAAGAAGTATCATTTTGCATGCCAATTAGTTGTCTGGTGGCTGGCAGCTCCTAGGTAGATTCAGGATGGGACTGGTCATTGGAAAGACCAAGGCAGAATCCTTAAAGCCCCACCCCTCAACATCCAGGGAAAGTAGAGGGGCTGAAGGTTAAGTTGACCATCAATGGCCAATGATTTAATCAATCATGCCTACATAAAGAGGCTTTCATGAAAATCCCAAAGGATGGATTTGGAGAGTTTCTGTACAGCTGAACAGGCGGAGGTTTCTGGAGGGTGGTGCACTTGGCAGGCATGGAAGCTCCGTGCCCCTTCCCACGTGCTTTGCCCTATGCATCTCTTCATCCGCATCCTTGGTAATATTCTTTGTAATAAACTGTAGATGTAAGTAAGTGTTTCCCTGAGTTCTGTGAGCTGCTCTAACAAATTAATGCAACCACAAGAGGGGAGTCATGGAACCCCCAATTTATAGCCAGTAGGTCAGAAGCACAGGCCAAAAAAACTGGTGATTGGCATCAGAATTCTGGGGAGCAATCTTAGGGACTGAGCCCTCACCCTGTGGGATCTGATACTATCTCCAGGCAGGTAATGTTGGAACTGAATTGGATCAGAGGACACTCAGCTGTCGTCGGTTTCTGAAAGATTGCTTGCTTGTGGTGTGTGGGGAAATCCCCACCCAGCCACAGCTGGTGTCAGAGGGTTGGGAGAGTACAGCAGGAAGAAGCTAAGTTTCTTTTTTCCTACATTCTCAGTGGGAGTGTTGCAACAGCTTGCAAAAGATAAATTACAAATGTGATTGTACGCCTTTCATATTCATAACTGAAATTTTCTTTATGTTTACATTTCACTGACCTCAAATATACACAAGCCTTAACTTTCACATCCATTTTCAAAGTCACTCTTTGTAAACCTGCATTCCAAGTGCTTTCTTGGTATCTTTTATCATAAGTGTTTACAATAGGCACAGATACGTTTTCTATGAACACTACTAATGATCACTGCTTTCGCTTGTTTTATAGTAATTTACAAAATGACTTGCGCAGCGCCATCTCTATTATGAAGTACTATTTAAAGCTCATCATTTGGCAAAACATTCAACTAGCTACATTGAATGTTAGCAACATAACCCACGCTGCTTTTATTATAACTAGGTATCACATCATATTGTAACTCATATTTCTGAGTCTGGAGTTATCACAAGGATTGACTATATTTTTAATGTGGAAAACTTTATTATTTCTTTATAGTTGCCTAACCACAGACTGGGTACATCTCTGGTATATATGGTAAGTTTCACTTATAATACCCAGAAAGACACTGTATTCCTTAAGGCCATTAAAAATGACAGCCTGCCTACTTACTTAGCATCTCATGGAGTAAGATTTCATTATTTCACCACTACCTATGTGACAATATGTCAGGATTTCCTTTGTCTTTTCTTTCTTTATTTCTTTTTTTTTTTTTTTTTTTTTTTTTTTTTTTTTTTTTTTTTTTTTTTTTTTTTTTTTTTTTTTTTTTTTTTTNTTGAGATGGAGCCTCGCTTGGAGTGCAGTAGTACAATCTCAGCTCACTGCAACCTCCACCTCCCGGGTTCAAGCGATTCTTCTGCTTCAGCCTCCTGAGTAGCTGGGATTACAGGCAGGCACCACCACGTCCAGCTAATTTGTGTATTTTTAGTAGAGACGGGGTTTCATTATGTTGGTCAGACTGGTCTCAAACTCCTGACCTCGTGATCTCTCCATCTCAGTCTCCCAAAGCGCTGGGATTACAGGCGTGAGCCACCGCACCCGGCCAGGATTTCCTTTTTCTATACCATCTCCTCTACAAGCATCAAAACATTATTGTGTCCTTCCATTGGAGTCTTTCTAGAAATATCTCTACAAAGGAGATGACTTTAGTGAATCAAAACTCAGACCCTGACCAGGTGTGGTAGCTCACGCCTGTATTCCCAGCAATTTGGGAGGCCAACACAGACAGATTGCTTTGAGGGCAGGAGTTTGAGACCAGCCTGAGCAACATAGTGAAACCCTATCTCTATTAAAAATACACACACAAAAAAAAAAATTAGTCAAGTGTGGCAGCATGTGCCTATAGCACTGGCTGCTCGGTAGGCTGAGATTGTGTCACTGCACTCCAGGCTGGGCAACAGAGAGAGACTCTGTCTCAAAAAAGAGGAAAAAAAAGCAGTCTCCCCAAACTACCTTAAATGTCTTATTATTTGTTCTAATGAATTGACTTACTCCAGCTGACAAAATAAGGAGGTATATATATAAAGCAAAAGCTTTGAAATTAAAATTATAAATTAAAATATTTATAATTATTCTATAAAATATTCAAACAAGAATCAAAACACAGACATTGAAGACTGGTTACAGTGGAACTAGGAAAAAAGCCAAATCCCAGAACTCCCACTTGCCCCGTGGGCTCTTGCAGGTTGCTGGTTGTCATTGGCGCGCTGCTTCTCCTGTGTGGCCTGACGTCCCTGTGCTTCCGCTGCTGCTGTCTGAGCCGCCAGCAGAATGGGGACAATGGGGGCCCACCACCCTATGAGGTCACCGTCATTGCTTTCGACCATGACAGCACTCTCCAGAGCACTATCACATGTGAGTACACTGACCTTTTAAAAACCTGGGAGAAAGACCCAATTTAAATGAATAATGAAAAGGGTGCGAAGGCGTAGAACACTGATGGAGTGGTATTAAAGATCCCAGGACTCACAATAGTTTCAATGTCCAGAAGTCTGATGGTGCAGTGACCTGGGCTCTCACTGAAGCTGTATTCTGAAGGATCTATCTGGCTGACGATAAAGAAAGAAGTGAAGTATTGGAGACTATTGGAAATATTGAACAGGAAGAATTAGCCAGTTTATAAGCAGTTACTTTGCTAAAAGCTATTTTGAACTCCAAACAGATCCCTTTTTCAAAGTGTCTTGAATTTTGTGGAAACCTCCTTTTGCTCTTGTCTATACTATTTTATATTTTTAAATAAATTAATGGCATATACTTTCAGTTCTTTATTCTTCAAGTCTTGATACACTAAATTTTAGCCTTAACATTTTCTCAATAATTATAAGACACTTTCCCTTTTCTCCTGAGGTTCTGTTCTTTCCATTATGTTCTTCTTTTTTTTCTTCTTTTTTAGATTAAGTCTCACTCTGTTGCCCAGGCTGGAGTACAGTGGCGTGATCTCAGCTCACTGCAACCTCCACCTCCTAGGTTCAAGCAATTCTCTGCCTCAGCCTCCCGAGTAGCTGGGATTACAGGTGCCCACCATAATGCCTGGCTATTTTTTGTATTTTTAGTAGAGACGGGGTTTCACCATCTTGGCCAGGCTGGTCTTGAACTCCTGACATCATGATCTACCTGCCTTGGCCTCCCAAAGTGCTGGGACTATAGGCGTGAGCCTCCGTGCCCAGTCAAAATGGTTACTTTCTTTTTTTTTTTTTGAGACAGAGTCTCCCTCCATTGCCCAGGCTGGAGCGCAGTGGTGGGATCTCAGCTCACTGCAACCTCTGCCTCCCAGGTTCAAGCGATTCTCATGCCTTAGCCTCCTGATTTGCTGAAATTACAAGCAGCCACCACCATGCCCAGCTAATTTTTTTTTTTTTTGTATTCTTCATAAATACAAGGTTTTACCATGTTGGCCAGGCTGGTCTCAAACTCCTGACCTCATGACCTACCTGCCTCTGCCTCCCAAAGTGCTGAGATTGCAAGCATGAGCCACTGTGCCTGGACTATGTTCTTTCCTAATTGAGGAACTGGCAGAACACCAGCTGGAAAACATGGATATTTATTTTGAAAAGAGAATGATGGCTAGGCACAGTGGCTCATGCCTGTAATCCTAGCACTTTGGGAGGCTGAGGTGGGTGGCTGACTTGAAGTCAAGAGTTCAAGACCAACCTGGCCAACATGGTGAAACCTTGTCTCTAGTAAAACTACGAAAACTGGCTTGGCGCAGTGACTCACGCCTGTAATCCCAGACTTTGGGAGGCTGAGCTGGGTGGGTCATTTGAGGTCAGGAGATCGTGACCAGTCTGGCCAACATAGTGAAACCTCATCTCTACTAAAACACAAAAATCATCCAGGCATGGTGGCACACACTTGTAATCCCAGCTACTTGAGAGGCTGAAGCAGGAGAGAATAGCTTGAACCTGGGAGGTGGAGGTTGCAGTGAGCTGAGATTGTGCCACTGCACTCCAGCCTGAGCGACAGACGGAGATTCTATCTCAAAAAAAAAAAAAAGAAAAGAAAAAGTAAATGAAAAGAAAGAAAAGAAAATAGATAAGGTAAAAATAAATATTCCTAAGGAGTCTATAGTGTCCAGGGCTGGGAGAAGGGGATCTATGTCTGAAAGGGGAAAGGGCAGGGTTGAGATGCAGGACCATTCTTTAGATTATTTGAGGATACCAGAGAAAACACGTCCTTCCAGCAGGGCAGGAAGCTGGGTTGTACACATGCTTCCAAGATATTCATAAAGTTTGTGGCAAGGAGTGACAATGAGTTTGAACACTTGTTAAAAATGAAGGGACAGGCCAGGCGCAGTGGCCCACGCCTGTAATCCTAGCACTCTGGGAGGCCGAGGTGGGTGCATTGCCTGAGCTCAGGAGTCTGAGACCAGCCTGGGCAACATGATGAAACCCTGTCTCTACTAAAATACAAAAGAGATTAGCCGGGCTTGGTGGCCGGTACCTATAGCTCCAGCTACTAGGGAGGCCGAGGTAGAAGAATTGCTTGAACCGGGGAGGCAGAGGCTGCAGTGAGCCAAGATCCTGCCACTGCACTCCAGCCTGGGTGACAGAGTGAGACTCCATCTCTACAAAAAAAAAAAAAAAAAAGAAGAAGAAGGGATAGGGTCAGGCATGGTGGCTCATGCCTGTAATCCTAGCACTTTGGGAGGCCGAGGTGGGTGGATCACCAGATCAGGAGTTCGAGACCAGCCTGGCCAACAAGGTGAAACCCCGTCTCCACTAAAAATACAACAATTAGCTGGGTGCAGTGGTGGGCGCTTGTAATCCCAGCTACCCAGGAGGCTGAGGCAGGAGAATCACGTGAACCTGGGAGGCCGAGGTTGCACTTAGCTGAGATCATGCCACTGCGCTGCAGCCTGGGTGACAGAGGGAGACTCCATCTCAAAAAAAAAAAAAAAAGGAAGAAACAGTGAGTGTGAAGAAGTAAGTCTCTGCTGTCTGAGGGTGTCCCATTTCCCTTAGTTCCTTAGCTCTGTTCCTTCTTTCTTCACAGCTCTGCAGTCGGTTTTTGGCCCTGCAGCTCGGAGGATCCTGGCTGTGGCTCACTCCCACAGCTCCCTGGGCCAACTGCCCTCCCCTTCGGACACCCTCCCAGGGTATGAAGAAGCTCTTCACATGAATCGCTTCACAGTAGCCAGGTGTGGGCAGAAAGCACCTGATCTACCCCCAGTCCCTGAAGAAAAGCAGCTGCCTCCAATAGAGAAGGAGTCAACATGAATAGGACCCTCTTGGAACTGACCGGAGCTGTGATTTTATAAATAGGGGTAGAGGTATGCCCAGAGTCTGTGGGTAAATGGATCATATTCTCTGCTAACCCTCAGAAGTTTTAGGATGGCTCTGACACCATCATTCTATGGGAAAGATGGGTTCTGACTCTTCATTCACGAGCCTTTATATTTTCTGATACAGAATGCTCTAACTGGGAACTCTGATTTTTTATCCGATGGCTGAAATCTGCAAGTAATCTCTAGTCACACTGATTACTACTAAACCGGGAAATCATCAAGGGTGTCTTGAATCCCTTCAACTATTGAGTGCATATAAAATTCCTGTACCCACATGATACTGTAAGTTGTGTTTCTCTCTGTCAGCTAATACATGCGGTAAACTGGAAAAGAAAGACAGCAGTGTCAGCACAACCATCGATATTAATGCACTGAATGCATTCATCTTTCCTCCTGAGACAGCAATAGATTTTACACTGAATGACAATGATCATCTTAGCACAACGTACCCACCCGGATATCTAAAATCCATGGATGAGATTGCTGACATGGGCTAAGATAACACAGTATAGTATTCAAGTGCCAAATATCAGTCTTTCTTTCTCTCTGTTCCTACCCATCAGCAGTATGAAAAACTCCATACTGTGCAAGCAACAGATTAATTCTTCAGTTCCTCTGCACTGCAAACACCTACGTGTGCACACATGCATGTACACATGAATCCAGTTTCAACTTTAAAGGAATAGTGTTGCTTTGCTGCTTTCCTGTTTTGTCTGGACCACCTAAAGCCACAACACCCCTATAGTGACACACGCTTGTCTCTAGTGGTGGCCCTCACTGCCACCTAGTGGAGGCATGGTGGAAAATACACTCTCTCCTTTGAGCCTATCTGCAATTCTCTCCAGTTGGAGCAAAAAGTAAATGCTGAACTAAGCCTGGATGGGATGCTTCCCAATCTATGCATATAACATATCACCACCAGAAGTATAATTACTGGAAAATCAAAAAAGTGATGCACATTTGGGGAAAAACTACTCACCTTAGATAAGTCACCAAAATCCTCTTTTTGTTGAGATTGAGTTTTGCCCTTATAGCCCAGACTGGAATGCAATGGCACGAACTGGGCTCACTGCAACATCTGCCTCCTGGGTTAAGCGATTCTTTTGCCTTATTTCCCAAGTAGCTGGGATTACAGGTTCCTGCCACCACACCCAGCTAAATTTTGTATTTTTAGCAGAGACGAGGTTTCAGCATATTGGCCAGGCTGGTCTCGAACTCCTGACCTCAGGTGATCCTCCCACTTCGGCCTCCCAAAGTGCGAGAATTATAGGCCTGACCCACTGCTCCCAGCCTGAAATCTTTAAAACAGTTTTCTCACCTAAAAAACAGGGAACAATAACACCTCAGAAGGTTGTTGTGAAGTTCAAAGAAGTTAAATATCTGTGGCATGATTTGTAAAGTGCTACGCATATGTACGTTATTCTTCCTACTGTCATCTAACCTTCCTTTGCCTGCTATGACTCCTCTGAGAGCTGTGTTCCCATTTATCCTTTTGCCAGCTACGTTACTGTTGTAGCACCTGAAGTGGCTTTATTTTTTTCAATAAATATTTGTTGATTGAGGTAAAAACAACAGATGTATGTGATTCCTTTTACTACGTTCGGTGTAGAGGTAAGGAATATTTGAGAAAACTAATTGTTTATTAGGCAATTAATTAGCTCCAGTAGTCAGGGAGGCAACACAGAGCCAGGATTGGCTGATTCGGGCAGATCCTTATTAACTACATTCTTGAAATACTCACTTAGCCCAGAGGGAAAAATGTTCTGAGTATAACCTGCTGGTGATCTGAATTTATCCTGAGTCATTTAACAAATTGGCTCTGGGAATTATTGAAATGCATGAATTGCTTGCTAATAGCTCCTGAAGTGACCTTGTTTTACTACTGCCAGATGAATCATTTAGTCATCACAGACACAATCCAGAAAACATTCTAGGCTCTTCCTTTAAGGCACCAAGACACCACAGACTTGAAAAAGGTAAAACGTAGCCAGGCACGGTGGCTCACGCCTATAATCCCAGCACTTTGGGAGGCTAGGTGGGTGGATCGCCTAAGGTTGGGAGTTTGAGACCAGCCTGACCAACATAGAGAAACTCCATCTTTACTAAAAATACAAAATTAGCCAGGCATGGTGGCACATGCCTGTAATCGCAGCTACTCGGGAGGCTGAGGCAGGAGAATTGCTTGAACCCAGGAGGTGGAGGTTGCTGTGAGCCGAGATCGTGCCATTGCGCTCTAGACTGAGCAACAAGAGCAAAACTCCAGCTAAGAGAAAAGAAGATAAAACATTCATTGGCATTAGAAAATCTTGGGGAAAATCTTGGCTACGATATCTTATTCTAAAGGCATCTCTCTTCCCCACACCGTCTCTCTAGCGCCCACCATCTGTTTGAAACATAAAATCACTTCCAACCATGACACACTACTCTGTCCTGCCTCCATCCCATAGTGTGTCTTTTCCTAATCTGCTTCACATGTGCTGCTCCTCAGCCACGTGGTGTCTCTCACTCCCATAACCCTCCCATTTGGTCACTAGCTATTTGCACACTTTTGGCCTCAATTCTTTTTTCTTTTTCCTTTTTTTTTTGAGATGGAGTTTCGCTCTTGTCATCCAATCCAGGCTAGAGTGCAGTGGTGCAATCTTGGCTAACTGCAACCTCTGGCTCCCAGGTTCAAGCGATTCTCCTGCTTCAGCCTCCCAAGTAGTTGGGATTACAGGCGCCTGCCACCACGCCCAACTAATTTTTTGTATTTTTAGTAGAGACAGGGGTTTCGCCATGTTGGGCAGGCTGGTCTCAAACGGCCGACCTCAGGTGATCTGCCCACCTCGGCCTCCCAAAGTGCTGGGATTACAGGCGTGAGCCACCGCGCCCGGCCGGCCTCAATTCTTTCTATACTGAATCTAATACATCTGTTAATCATCACTATCACCATCACTATTGTTCTCAATTTTTTTTAATTTTCTAAAAAATCTTTTTTAAAAGATTTTTTTAAATCTTTAAATACTGGTTTGGCTGGGCAGAGTGGCTCACGCCTGTAATCACAGCACTGCGGGAGGCCAAGGTGGGTGGATCGAAGTCAGAAGTTCCAGACCATCTTGGCTAACATGATGTAACCCGTCTCTACTAAAAATACAAAAATTAGCCAGGTGTGGTGGGGTGGTTCTGCAGTCCCAGCTACTCAGAAGGCTGAGGCAGGAGAATCACTTGAACCCAGGAGACTGAGGTTGCAGTGAGCTGAGATGGCACTACCACACTCCAGCCTGGGTGATAGAGTGAGACCCAGTCTCAAAAAAAACAACAATGGTTTTCAAAATAGAACAGTGGT